AGGGTGTAATGAGACTACTTGTATTTGAGTCGTATAGATATTTTTAGGAAGCTTTGAAAGAACAGTTTGTCATTCCTTCAACTTTGACAAGATTTTTTTTTTTTCCCATTGCTATTTCTTCTAGTGTAGCATAATAATAAATAGACACTGTCTTTAATCTGTATTTCACAGACTATTTTACGTGGAAGTTGAGTATAGCCACCTCTATCTGATCTTTGCTATCTTTTTCCTTTCTGTTGATGCCCTTGAGAGTGTGGAGAATTGGGGTCAACAAGGAGAAAAACATCTAATATTGCAACTCCCCAGTATAACATATTCATCAAAGCTGACACTTAAGTCTTATAGCAGCACAGTAAAAGAAACCTTGCTCCAGGAGAACTAAACAACAACCAAAACCCCCTTAAATGCATTCTTAGCATTTTTACTGTTTACAAATACTTTAGGGGGGGAAAAGAAAGTTGCAGTTTGCTCTGCAGATCTTCTGAAGTTCCCCTGGTGCCCTCGAACTTCTGAGGCACTTCTGAGATGACTCCCAATTGTGCCATCTGACCAAGAACAGCCATGGGCTTATGCACCAGACTTTTTTCTTGCATGGGGTTTGTATGGCTGGCCTATACCCTTTGTGCAGGTCACCAACCCTTTTTATTGTGAACAAAGCAATAGCTGCCTCCAATCAATACCTTTAATTATTTTTTCTGTATTAAAATATTTTCTAACTTCAAGCCAGCTTGTAAATTTAGAGTTGCCCAGTTAAACCTAAATGCTATTTTTTTCTGTTATGGAAATTGCCGAATGCAAAATATTTGTATGGTTTCTGAATAGTGAATAGTCTAGAGACCACAAATTGGTTTTGTTAAGTTTTTCCTCATTTCCATATTTAAAAACAAAACAAAACAAAAACAACAAACAAAACAACAACAAAAACACCAACCAACCAACCAAACACCACCAAACATACAACCCCTCCATCCCAAAGCTAAGAACAAAGTACCAGTTACTCAGCTGAAAGATATTTTATTGTCAAGTGCAGTGGATGTATGCAATGAGTGAGGAATCTTTGGGGACCGGAGTCTTCTCTATGTTAACTGCCCTGCTGCTGCTTTCAGTATCGTGTAATAAAAATAGCACCAGTTCGCAGCATACTTAAAATTGTCAGGGGTAGCTAGAAGGTACCTGCTATTGTTTATGTACATTAAGACCCTACTGGTGACTCACAGGCGGCTTCTTAGCAAATCAGTGTCCCATAGGTTCCTGTTAGGCTGCCACTGTTGCTACCTCATCAAAGTGGGAGAAATGTGATCTTATTAAAAGATGATGAAAGCTGATCTACCTCATCCAGAAAAATAGCTTCCCATTTATGGGATAAGCTTCATTTTACTAACCTTTTGCAATTGTGTGTTTTGGTGGTTTGTTTTTGGTGGTGTGTTGGTTTGGGTTTTTTTTTGCGTAGGAGAAATGCTAGATCCCTCAAGAACAGTGATGGAGATTTTGGTCTTTTCCGTCTTCCAACAGTGGAATCACCACGTCCAAGCCTTATTTGGCATCAAGAAGAAAAACTACTCCTGAGAGTCTGTGCGCAGCACTTCAAAAATAGGACTTTTAACAGTTTCAGTATAGCAATAGTATTCATATAGACATATAAAGGCCCTGCACAACTGAAGTATTCATCAGGGTTTAAAATCTATTCCCATTTGTCCGGTGTTCCTTGCATATTCCAGTCAACTCAAGCACTATTACTGTGGTGTAAGCATCAGTGCTGGTGAAAGCTATGTGTAACCAAACAGATTTCAAGTATGAATTTCATCTCCAGCTGTATTGCCACTTCTTTTCCCCTGGCAGGAGGAGTTTTAATGTTGTAATATACACCTTGATCATCTACTCTGCTTTGAGAAAGTCAGTTGTGTACATCTGTCACTGCAATGGTCACTGCTTGTATTGAAGCACTTCTCATAGGAAGTGTTTTGCTGGATCTCAGAAAAATAGCCTTTTATTATCAGAATTCTTGTAGACTTGATGGTATAATCCAAGAATATTAGAAAAACTCCAACCAAACAAAACCCTCTAAAGGCTATATAGCTTCCTTGTATGCTGCTGTAAGAAGCATCGAGAGCATTACTAAAACTTCACTCTCTAGTGAATTACAACTTTTGCAGAAGGAAAAAGACTAGAAAAGCTCAAGAGTAATTTGGTGCATTAGCTTTAAAAGGTATCCTCCCTGTCAGAGTACTATATTTTTAAGCAGTTACCATACTCCTGCCTCAGGTTTTGGTTAACTAACAAAACAGGATCTCTTCCTCTTTCCATCCCATTGGCAACTGCTTTTGGGCACCCAAAAATGCCTGAACCTGTGCCAGCTACACTTTCACTTTTCTGAATAAGAAAGATTAAGATCATATATACACACAGCTTTGGATGCATTTCATGAAAGTGTTGTATGAAGATGTAAATACCTTCCTCCTCCTTGTGGAAATAATTCTCCTCCTATATTAATTTTTGGGTTTTGGTTTGCTTTTTTTAACACGCACCCCTTACACTGTCTGAATCTTAAGCACTACAGCAGGTCATTTTTCCTCTTGTAGATTTCAAATAGATAACTATCTAGATTTTGCATGTTGAACGAGTGTTGCTGATGTTAACAATTTACTTTGTACTATCCTGGTCTAATTTTGATTTGCATTTCATCATGAAAGCAAACTCTGACACTGTTCCATTAATAATGTTGGAAACTGCACATAATGGGTTAATATTTCAGACTTTCTCTGTCTTACAATGAGGAATAGAGAACTGTACCACATTAATTGCAATAACTTTTTTCCCCTACAGTTTAATGAATTTGAATTTGGCAATTTGAATTTCTATCTAAGCCCTGAAATTTTCCTGTGAATGATAGCTACTAAGTGGTTCATCAGCTGTGTGACGAAAAAGCTTGCACTAGGTGTGTCCCAAGTGCCAGTCAAATACAGCATCCTGTGTCCAGTAGCAATTTGAAAATTGGCTGAGAGAAACAGTTATTTTCAGAGAACAGAAAGCATGTCTGTATGTGCATTAGAGCGTTCCTAAGAGCCTTGGCGCTAGAAACAAGTATGTCTCTATTTGTGAAATATCTTTGTGCTTAGCGTGCAAACTTCTGTGGTTATGTTAGATTACTGTATTTAGTAAGGCATTGTGGATGTTTTCTACTACATACTTATATTCTTTATATCATTGCTTCCTTTCCTTAACAGTTTTATAATATATGCAAATGGCAGGCAGGTAGCCTTCCTTGAGTGGTATACTTTTTTCAAAGTAAAGCAAGGCTAAGATTTGAGTTAAATACAAAAACTTACTTCTAATATAAGCTTCTTTACCATATGCTATACTTCATGCATATATTTCCTTAGATACAATTGGTGTTAGATATTTGGAGTGCAAACTTGTAATGTTTGTGTATATTTTGTTTTCGAGTGGTTTTTCCCCTCCTCTTTTCCTAAAGCAGAGAGATCCGTGATAAGAAATACCTTTCTGGACCATAACAAACCTTCTTTTCTTGACAGACAAGAGGGGCATGCTGTGAATACATACTGTATATGAAGTATATAAAGGGTGTGTCTGCCAGTAATGATGTATATGGAACTGGCACCAACTGGACTCAATCAGACAGAAAATTAAGACCCTGTCTAAAATGTGGAACAAGAGTTTAGTAGTAAACTTGAAATGTAGCTCTGTAAAGCAACTGTACCTCAGAAAGCCCAGGGAAACAATAGAGAGTAAGTCAGTTTGTGTTCTTGTGAGGTATTTTCAGGCCTTCCTGGGAATCAGTTTTATATTTTGTCCTCATGTAATGGATTGCCATCCACAGTGGATGCCCTTCAGTTTTCTGGAATGCCTACCCTTGGATTGACACCTGGTATATTGAAAGTCACAAAATGCAGATGAAGACAGGCAGAACAAAGGCACTTTAATATCCTGCAACAATCTACGCTACGTATTTATTTCCTACTGCCAAGCAGAAAGAACGGAAACATACTGACTAATTTTTACCAGAACAATAATCAGACATCCACCAGTAAACATGAGTGTAGGCCAAAGGAAAGCAAAAAGGAGGCCTTTCGGGGGATAAAGTCTGCTTAAAATTACATTGGTCTGCATTCCTCCTGGGTCATAGTAGCATGGGAAAGTCTGGTGTTTTTTAAAATTGCTTGCAATTGTTTCTATTCGTGCTTTAACTTCTTTAGAGTTCTCCGACTTGCCTGGGACGTATGAGCACTGGAATAAGAAAACAAGGCGATTCATTATGATGGGTACTCTAATGCAGGGTTTGTAGTTAATTCAGACTAAGTAAAACAAACATCCTAGTACTGATAAGAACTCTTCCAGGGATGCTAGCCAAACCACAGAACATCTTGGTTTCCTTATGCCCATAATCCATTTGCCATGCTTTCTTGTTTCTGTCAGTCTGTCTATGCCCACAGTCTGTGGATTTACAGATTGGAATAATGTTGTTGGAAACCAATAATACGTATGTGCTCGAAATAAAACTGCAGTCTTTGAGACTGTCACTTTATTATTACAGTGCCAAGCTTGGATTCCTAACAGAGCTTCTAGGCACCACCACAGCAGAAATATGTTAGCTGTGCAGAACTTGATAACTGGCTTGTCAGCGTGCAGGCAAACTAAGTTGCTTCACTGAGCGCTTCTGGTTGTAACAAGTAGAAAAAGAAGAGGAAAGCATGGCTGTTGGAGGCTTCCTACTTGTCCTTATAACACAGAACTATCTGACCTGCAGTAATAATGCAAAGTTATTTCATCTTCAGTGGAAATACTGGTCTAAGGACAGACATTAACATGTAAAAAATGAACTACTCTGCTGCTTGGTTTAAAAACAATCACCCCTTCTCCTCAAAGGTGTTAAGTAGCAGCAGAGAGTGATTATTCAATCTGTGTTGCAAGTACCTTAGGATTTCTTTCCAGTGTGTCTTCAGTCTGATACAGCATAACCTCTTGTCCTGAGGCTGTCAGATTAACCCACACCTGTAGACAAGGATAGGGATAGAGATCCTCATCCTCTGAGCCTTCGCTGTTTGGACAGACAACTTCATCCTTGATGCTGGCCTTGAGTACCTTGCACACAGTTTCTGTTGTCCAAACACTGCAAAACCAAGACAAAAGATACTGCTTTTAAATGTGTTAGCAATACCTGTTACGAGTTGCACGCTGGAGATGGATCTGTGTGTGCCAGCTGTAAGTGGTGGCACGGGTGGAGTTTGTGGCTGCTCAGTCCTGGTGCAGTGAACTTTGCCCACCCCGAATTGATGGCTGCACCTGGAGAAGGGCTGCTGTAGGAAAGCCATGCAGGAAAGTGGTGGTGGTGGTGGTGGTGTTGCTGTTGTTTGTAACACATTCTGTGGTTTGAAGTTGGATTCTAACCTCATCTGTAATCAGCTTCAAGTGTTATTCGAGAAAGAAAAATTGTTATGGGTTTTAATGTTTGATAGTAAATATTTGGAAGTGCAGTACACTTGGTGTCTCAGAAATATTTTTACTAATTTAATCCAGTAATTCTCGGAACTCGGATAAATTCCCATGTCTTTCCTCCTTTCTCCTCTTCTTTATTACATGGACCTTTTGCATGAATAAGTAGCAGGATTTTGTTTGGCAAAAGTTCGTTTTTTTGCTGTTACTTATCCCTTTGTCCCAAAAGTTACTCTTTTATTACTGGTAACATAGGAAGCTTTTGCTTACAGCAATACACTTTGGCAAAAAAAGTAAAGAAATAGTCTCACTCTAGTTCTGAAGAAACTAATCTTTTTACATGCAAATGTCTTTTGCAATGTAATCAGGAGGCTTTAATATAAATAAAATAAATGTGAATTACTCTGTTTTAAACAATGTTTTTTCAAACATTTTTTTTTAACTTAAAGGTGCACTTAGCAAGAGGAATGAGGTGGAGATACTTGCTTTCGCTATCAAAATCTTCAAGTTTGAAAAACTCAGCTGCACTCTTTGTCTTGTTACTTTGTTTTTTTGCAAATTGTTTTTGTGTGTGGAGGCAGAGCTTGCAAAATGAAATAAAAATGTGAGTACTAGTAACTTCCCCGGCACTCATTGTATTCTGCAACATTGGCTGTGGTAGACTGGGCTGTTGAAGGTACTAGTGTCTCATGAGGGTTGATTTGGAAGTAAGATATAGATTCTCAACTGAACAATTTTACTGTGACTTCTGTTGCTCAAGTTTTTATAATTTTATTAAAAACAAGACACCCTCCTGCACATGGAAAAGCCTTTTTTTTTTTTTTTTCACTTATGCTAGACTTAACTTTTCATTATCAAGCTTTGATAAGCATGGTTGTTTTTTATTTTATATGCTTTCATAGTAAATATTTTGTTTTAGTCTGTTCTCATTCTAGCCCTGAAGATGATCATTCCTTCGTTCTTGTGCTTGCCTGTAAATCCCTGATGACTTCTTGCTTCACTTTTTTCTTTCTCTTTTCTTCTGTCTGAAATTGTTATGAGCTCTTCAAGAACATATTGTTTATTTATTCTACAATGTACTAACTTATATTTCAGCACTGTTTTAATAATTGTATTTGATGCTGCCAGGAAAAAGAACTAGCTTTGTATTCATAAACAAATGGCTGTTATTACCTTTTAGTGTAGAATGGCACAATGGTGATCCCAATAAAAAAGTACATCATCATGGAGCACACGACCATTCCCAGTCCCAAGCACAGGGCTCTTGTCTCCCCTCGCTTCTGTGCGGTCACCAACTTTTTTCCCAACATGATTTAGAGTTGCGAAATCTGAACAGTCTCTTTCTGGTATAAAATAAAATACAGAAAGAAGAGAAGAACATGACTAGGATTGGCTACAGGTATCACAGTTGTGTAGTAAGTTTCTGAAATGTAAGGTATCCCATGCAGGAACAGTCCTAATTTTGCAAAAACTCAAATTAAAAAAAAGTTACTGTGTTTTTTTTGTTATCAGTAGACTCCTTTTTTAATTTCTAATATTTACCACATAGTATTTTGAAAAGTGTACGTGTGTGAAGGCTAGGAGATAGGGTAGGAAAACCTGATTACTTTTTGGGAGAGTTCCGTTAACAGCCCGGTTGTCCTCAGCCTTAATCTATTTCATGTTGCTGCTTCTCTGAAGGAAGAGAAATTGTGTTGTGTATTGGTAAAGGCTATGTGAAGGGAAAATCTTCCCATAGTAGAATCTTTTTTACATTATGCTTTTTCTTCTGGATAAGTCTGAAATGTGGTTGTCTTATTTCAAAAGAGCTGAAATAATTTAAAATTTAGCGTTTGAGATGACCTGTTCTGACTTGTGCATGTTTGTTGTTTGACCTTGTCCATTCAGGGATGCTCAAAACTTGATGTATGATCAAATAGCAGAGAAAAGCTGTGTTTTTCTAGACAGAAGTAGTATGATGCCACCAAACACAACGGAACAGGATTAGAAAACACAGCCGTGGAAATGGCTGTTGTTTCACCACAAGCACAGGGTCAGGGCTGCCGCTGGCACTAGCGGGAGAGTGCAAAGCCTGAAGTGTTGGTGTAACACCAGGGAACGCTCAGGCAGAGCTGTCTGAACCTGAGCTCGGGAGTGACTGGCATTTTCTCCCCACTTCCTTGCCAAATAACATTTTAAATTATCTTCCTAATGCTTTGATAAAGAGAATCTGAAAATAATTGCCGTGAATCCATACACCATTAAATCATTGTGACTGATGTATTCAGATTAATATATATATAAGCCACAACAGTCACTGGAGTTCAACTCATCACCAGTATCTGTTGCGCTGACAGCTGTAACTGAAGGTTTGTGGGGTTTTGTAAAACACGGTGCAAGCTACAGTTATGGCAAATGACGAGACTGGCAAGATTTGTGTGTGGTTTTTTTGGGAGAAGGGAGGAAAGAAGAGCAGAAGGAGAAAGGGAAAATATATTACATACGTGCCAAAACAGGTTTTCAGTCCTGTTCTCATGTGCAAGCCAACAGTGCACATGTAGTAGCTGGTGCGTTTTCAGGATTTCAGATTCGGGTGTGTGCAACAATTTAGTGTTTATCCTTACTAGCTGGCCTTCAAGATGATGTGGTTCCTGCCTAAATCCTCCTATGTTCAGCTAAGCAGTAGAGCAAATACCAAGACTTAAGTTTAGGCACAGTATAAGGTAAGCACAAGCCAAAGTTAGCAAATAGGCTCGTCAGGTTAACCATGAGTAGATGGTCTCCAGCTGCCCCGTGCTGGCAGAGCTGTGGTGTTACTGAGGGTGGGGATCAACACTGAGTTTGGTGAAAGACAAGATAAAGACAGCATCAGCTCTTGAAAGAAAGAATGTGAATATAATCTGCATGTTGCTTTCTTTCCTATTAGTTCTGTTTTTCACTGGTAAAAGTGCCTTATTTTGACTGTTTAATGATCAAAGGAAAAAAGTATTTGAACATTGAAATGCTACTGGTTTTATAACACCTGACTGTTAGTGTTATTAACAATAAAAATACAGACTTCTATGGACAGTAAAACAGCTTTGGTTGTTTAGCATAACTCAGGGCTAGTTACAGAATTTTTTCAGTATATATTTTGGAGTTGCTAGTACGTGATATCGAAATGAAAGGCTGTTCTGAGGTGTCCCTAGGAACAAAAGGAGTTACTGTTGTTGGGATTCTGAATTTTGTCCGGTTCCATATTTAATTCCACTTTAAAACATCAATATCCACTATGAATTTTGCATACAGCATTTTGAGAGGAATTGTTCTGATGATGATCATTTATAATTCACTGGCATTGTAAGAAGCATCTTAAATTGGAAATTGCCATAAGATGAACCTTACCTGCTTACTGGCATTTGAGTTTAATACAGAACATGAGCAAGTGCCCTTAAATAAGGCTATATTGTGGTTTTTTTGGTCTATGGGGCTATGTGCCATCAAGCATGGTCAGTATGCTCGCACTGTGCCATGACCATGCAGAGAGGCACGTCCACCCTGCAAGGAAACTTGGGTAAATGTTAGTAGTGACTGTTGGAAACTTCTGTCATTTCTTTTATTTTTAGGGAGGGAAAGTGGAAATAGCATTTTCAAAAAACAGAATTCCAAAATATTTAAAATATTGGAACACTGTGCAACACCTTAAGACCAATTGATATTAAACTGACTCTCCTTTACCTATTGTGCAGCTTGGTCAGAGGGGAAAATGGAATAAAGGAGCATCATCGGTGCTGGAGCATGGGCCCTGAGACCATGTGGTACCTGAGTGGCAGTTCCTTATGACACAGTGGGAAGCTAACGATAGACCAGTGAAAAATCTGCGTTGTTAGCAAGAAATTCTTACATACAGTAACGATCACAGAATGGTCAGGGTTGGCAGGGACCTCTGGAGATCATCTCGTCCAACCCCTCTGCCAAAGCAGGGTCACCTACAGCAAGTGGCACAGGAACACGTCCAGGCAGGTTTTGAGTATCTCCAGAGAAGGAGACTCCACAACCTCTCTGGGCAGGCTGTTCCAGTGCTCTGCCACTTTCAAAGCATAGAAGTTTTTTCCTCATATTCAGACGGAGGATCTCCTGAGTTTCAGTTTGTGCCTGTTGCCCCATAACCTGTTACGGGGCTCCATGCTCTTGACACCCATTCTTAAGGTATTTATAATACATGATTAATACAACAATATAATACAGTAATATAATACAATGAGTAATCTTTAATTAGTTATGTGGGAAAATGAAAGTGAAAGATGGGTACTGCCCCCATGACTTGTGGAAAACTTCTTGTGGCCTAGTGCTGTTAGCCTTGAGTTTTAGATGAACCGTAATGTTTACATGGCTATCCCAGTTACACTGAGAAATAGTGCGGTAATCAGACCCCTTGTTACATGGAAAACAAGAACTGTGGGACTATTAACCAAGGAATTAATAAGAAATGTAATTGCCCCATCAGTCTGCTAGAATGTCAGCCACATATGCAGCAGAAGTACCGGTAAGCTTATCCTTCCTCATCATCTTAAACTACCAGACTACTTCTTTAAGATGCTTAAGTAATTTGTATGTGTAAATTGGAAATTTTCACAAATGGCCAAGAGATTTTGCCAGCATTACAGGCAGTGTTGTTCCCCATCCTGACAGCAGCCGGGCTGCCTCACCCTGGTTCTCTGCGTGGGCTGCTAGGTGATCCTGTTTGCCTCTGCTCCCCTAGTTCAGATGTTTGCTCTGCCCCAAAGAGAATAAGGACATATAAATTATGCAGAGAATGTTAACAAGAAAGATTCGTCTAAAAATATCTCACTGAGTGCTTCTGTAAACATGAAAAATAACCGGCTGAGTCTTCAGGCAGTGTAAATCAGAGGTGCTCACGTCACTGTTGTGTTGCTGCACCAGATTAGCTGTAAATGTGGTCCCTAAAACTGGAATACATACTTCCTGTTGTATTTTTTAATGCTTTAACATTTAGAAGACCAGAAAAATCTGTAATGCAGTTTCATGCATATGCAGAATAATTTAAGAGGAAACCCAGGTCAGTGAAGGAAGTGCTATGTGCATTTTTTTTCCTTTCATATATAAATATTCTTATGTTCTTGTGTTGAAAATCCTGTATTTTCTGGCTCTCAAGACAAAGCAATGCTCATGCATATAGAAAAAACACATTTATTTGGAAATTCCCCATTGTTTAAAAGGTTAACTTTTTTCAGATTAAAAATTCTTTTCTGTCTCCTAGTTCTGTCAGTGTATATTAGGAGGAATGTTGAAAGAGCCAATTAAGTGTTTCCTCTGACAAAATCATTGAATCTTTGAAAAATGAAGCACTGCAGAGGACTTGATTGGCCCAGGAAGACTTTGAGTGTATTTGAATTGGAAGATGTTGAAGCGTATAATGTGGCTTTTAGTCTGGCCTTCAAGAGCAAATCTAAATGGATCTTTTGCACTGAAGATTATGGGGTGCCTCCATAATTATTAGGAAAATATAAACTCCAAATCTTTTTATAAAGTTCTTTCTCCCTAATATTCTTCTTCAGTCTAGTTAAATTATACAGTACATTAGCTGTGCAATTTCAGTGTATAATCACTGCATTGACAGCTGCTGGTGATAACCCTAGGGCTGCCATCTGCTCAGGTTTGGAAGAGTCCCCTGTTTTGATTAGTAGACATGTTTGATACTTGGCGGGAAGTCTCTGCCGCCTCCTCCCGCATCTCTCGAGGAGTTTCCAGTGCTGTGACCTCCATGAGTTCGGATGGGACCTCTCCCTCTCCAGCTACTCCAGGCTGCTCATTTGTACGGCAGTATCAGTGGCACTGATGAATTCATCTTGCTTGCTTGCAGAAGAAAGGGTGCTAAACCCTTTTCTCAAATTTCAGTTGAGAATAAATATTAACAGGGTGCTAGTCTTTTTTTTTTTTTTTTGGGGGGGGGTGTGTGGGGTGGCGCTGGTTTATCCTACAATATATGGTGAATTTCCAATGAGCATTTATGTACTGCTTTCAGATGAGCATCAAGTGCTAGTATTACATCACACCAAGAAGATTGACACAAGTTATCTGCATCTCTAAAGTGATGAGGAGTCTTTAAACAGACCTGGACACTTTTGGCTGTAGTGCCTCTGCGTATGAAATAGCCATTTGCTTTCTCCTATCAAGTGCCACCTTAATAGCCACATTGTTTTATTCTCAAAACACCTTGTGTGGACAACATAAAAATTGCTGGCTTTGCTAGGTGTGTAAAAGGAGCATAGTATTTGTTGCCAGTTTATCGGCCAAGTACTTTGTGTGGGAAACAGAAGGCAATCCTAAGT